CCCCCCCCACAATCCCTATCTATTCTTTTCTTTCTTTTGTTGTTGGTCCGGTATCCTTAGGAGTGACTCCCTGCTTTCACCAAGTATCTCTCATTATTTCAATCAGATTAAAATTTTGAACACATGAAATCATGAGAATTGGTCTTCCATTTAATCAAATTGGAAAGGTCAATACTGGAGAACTGTGATGGTTTTTATGTTGCTCATTCTGCTTCAGGAGAGGGACTTAAACGGTCTAGAAAATATTAATACTTGCATCCAATCCATCCTGATGTACGAATTTCTAGGGGGGGTGATGGGAAATATAAAACAACAACAAATCTGAAGGAGCAGATTAATAAACCTCCGGTGTTTTGATGTCGTTCTCCTAAATGGATGACATCTAATACGTTTGGACAGGAAAAATACTTGACCGAAGAACAAAAGAAAGACTTTTGGCTTCAGATCAGACTTATCAAGAAAATCAAGCAAAAAAAAAGATATGTTTGGTTCCATGATTTGAAATGCCTAGTAAAACCTCACACAACTACTACAGCATTACCTTTTCGCACAGAGCAAATGAAGCATTTTCGAAGATTAAGAGCATAAGATATTTGGCTTCACATCAGCCCGTACATATAGAGGTATGTTTAAACCTAGCACTGAACTATCGCATCATTAATTTTTTGCGCTAAGCCAAAGCATCATTTTCCACAATTGAAAGCATAACAAGTAGTCCCTTTCTTCTCCAATTACTTATGTAATCTCATAAACAGGTTTAGATCATCAACAACCAGGAACTAATCATACAGTATTTGGCCAATAAGCTAGACACGCCTTTACCTACAGCCTACATTTGTGCTTCACACTCATCTTTTCACATACTTTTGAAATAGATGTCAAATGCCTGACTAACAAACAGTGCGGCAGAGGCAGAGAATGACCTGCTTCGTTAAACACAGAGGATATCCCAAAATTGAGTAGAAGGATTGCTGCTCACACCTTTGATGTCTGAGATCCAGGGGGTAAGAAAGGCGTCCACCACTCTGATTCATACTTTGGGTATGGAGCTACCCACTTCTCTGGCTTTTCAAACTTAAGACTAACAGGAGTACATGCCAAAGCTTCTTCTAGACTGTCAGCTTCATAGCTCTCCTGTAAAACTCTGTCTAGTCTCAACTTCATGAACCTACAACACCCAAGAAACAAGTGAAGATACATACTAGGATAACAAAAGGTGGATTTAGGATTTAAATTCGACGAGTTCAATCTTTAAGTTTCTTAGCACATATGTTGCTCGGACTCTCCGAAAATGCTGTCAGGTGCGTGTTAGATCCTCCAAAAGTAGTGCATTTTTGAAGCATCCGACACGGGTGCAGCAACATTTTGGAGAGTCCGCAGAACATAGCTTAGCACTAAACTTATTTCACTTTTGAAATTATGGATTTTGAATTTTGCTTGTGAAAATTTTAATGGTTTTTCTCACATATATACCTTTTCCAGTATCAAAAATATTGGGTTCAACTGGAACCATAGAGGATATGTTATATCCCACTCAAATTAAGTTTATCAATGTGCAAGCACACATGCACATACATATGTTCCATGTCAAAAATACTGGGTTCAGTTAAAACCGTAAAGAATGGCCTGCATCCACCTTTGATTAACTTGCCTATGAACGCATATACCTTCTTGCATTTTCTTATGATGCATAAACTGGGAAAAGAGGGTAACTAGAGTTTAGGGTATTGAAAATGAGTGCACTTACGTGATCCAAGGGCCATTTGTTGAGACAAGAGCTACTGCAGGTCTCTTCAGTCTCTTGGTAATATTAGGGAATTTATCCAAGAATTTTGGCTCAATCACAAGCCAGAAATCCTGCTCCATGTTGCGCTCTCCAAAGAGACGAAGACGTTCAAACAATTGCTCCTGGAAATGCTCCTCTTCATCCAGCATGAATTTGGCATTTGCAACAAGAAAATAGTACTTCTTCTTTTCTGTGTCTTGCTGTATATATAACAAAATATCAAACAGTAATTGAAGATTGCGCTGGATACTCGCCGAGCAGCAGCAACAACAACAACATACCCAGTATTATCCTACATCTTGGGGTTTGGGGAGGGTAGTGTGTACGCAGACCTTACCCCTACCTTGTGAGGATAGACCACACCGTGGGGTCTAGATAACTTACCTAAAAAGGAGTTACTTGAAGTTTTTGCCTTCATTTCACATAACAATGATCCATGCCTCGAGATAAGCATAGAACGCTCTTGTGATTTTTACCAGAAAAGAAATAAATGCACTTATCGTGTCGCGTTTATGAGATAGTTATTGTAAGTTTTGTTGGGAATAAACCCCTTACCAAAATAATATTCACGGTAATAAAGCGGAATAATAATG